GTACTTTCTCATTTACACAGAATGCTATATAGGGCAGGAGGGTCCATGGTGGCGAGCAGCTGTGTCCACTTGCATTTTAATACCAGTAAACAGTCGGGTATTCTTTCCTTTAACATAAACGCGTGTTCATATATTTTCTGTCCCTTAGTGGATAATCTTATACCATTACTCTTTTCTCTTGTGCAAAGAAATAACTTACACATTTTCTGCGCTGACCATCAGTGGAGCTGACTTCGTTGGCATACTGACTATCCTGCTATTCATCCTTACTTCTTATAGTTTTAAAGATGTAATCTGCCTTTATTATTGAGTCCAGTGTCTCAGGGATCATTGAGAAATGGTAGACTAGAGAATAGATTATTTAAAAGTCAACTGATGAGGTAGATTGCTACTGAGCCCTTTGGGCCTACTACTTCACCCGTAAAGTGAGCGCTTGCTCTCAGTTCTACCTAGATTTATGATTAAGTTGGGCTTGCCTTGTAGTTGTGGATTTTAAATCTCACTAGGCAGACTTAACAAAATCCAGGAAAATACTTTTTCTAAATTGTTCAGAGAGCATGATCTCAGTGGGGAGAAAAAAAAGGAAAGAGAGGAGGAAAAGAAGGAGTCCTCTAATAAAAACATTTAAAAAGCATGTTTCTAGAACCTTCCGAACAAAGCATAACCGACTAAAGCCACTTGTTTAATGTTCTTTTTTCCCATAGCTCGGATTCTGGTGCTTCCGAGACTAGTCTCTCACCTCCTTCCTCCCCACCAAGCCGGCCCCGTAATGAACTGAACGTGTTTAATCGTCTTACTGTTTCTCAGGGAAACACGTCAGTTCAGCAGGACAAGTAAGTCATGGGAGAGAGCCCTGGCAGCTCACCCGGACTCCGCCTCCCCCACCACAGTCTGTGTGCACCTTTCGCTCACCCTCGCTGTCTGGGAGCCGGAGTCTGAATAGGAAGTGCTTGCCATAGTTTTGCATTTTTTAAACAGAAAGGAACCAGGTAGCCAAACTTGAGAGATTATTTTCCTGCTAAACATTGCTTCCTGCAGTACATGTGCACGGCTGTGCTTTTAGTTCTTATCTCGTCTACTCTGGTACACATAAAATAGAATTTAAAAGAAAAAAAAAGGAATCTTTGAGCATTTAATGTTAAAACTTCTTTGGATTTTTCATCTTCTGTAACTCACAAAGGCATCTAAACCATGACAGGCTACATTGAAAAGTGGCGAATGTTTTACTGTTGCTAGAGAATACAACTTACAAAGACCACATGCTCCTGCCATTTGGTGCTGCCAGATAAATCTACCCCAGATTCCAGCAATTGTGTCACTGGAATAAAATACCTCCTTTATGAACTGAACGTGGTGATATGCCCTCTAAATCGACTTAGAGGCTGTGGGGCTGGAAGGGAGTTGAGGGGAGAGGCTAGGATGTGAACAACATAATTTTTTACTAACTTAGAAGTGAAAAGGTATCCCTAGATTGAGTCACAACCTTTCTTCTAAAAATCCAATACTAATATGACTGACATAATGTAGTTATGAGCCCTGGCTTGTCTGCGAACGCATGCACTGGGCATCCCTACTCCCAGCCACAGCCACTGGTTTCCTATGCTGTTATCTTCCTGCATGTAACATCTCTGAAATTTATAGGATGCCATTTAAGAGATCTGTCTAGTATGCTTAGATCGTATTAAATGGCTCTATAAATGTAATTATATTCATTATTTGGAAATCATTTTTAATCTGCTTAATTCATACATCAGCTATTTGTATATGCTTTATTAGTTTTTGTTATATTCAGTAGGTGATATGCCCTCTAAATCGACCTAGAAAGGTAAATGTGCTATTAAACAAAATAGTCCTTAATGTTATAAAGGCGTTCCATCATCCGAGAAAGGTAGGACATTGGAAATATATTGCAGAAGTCTATTTTCACTAGAATGTGGACAGCTGCTAGGTTTTGCATTCACAGTAGATATTAAATTTTCTGTCATAAGATGGGTGTGGCAGCTCACAAGTGTCACCCAGCACTTGAGACACTCAAGTAGGGGGAGGACCTATATGTTCAAGGCCAGACTGGGCTACATAGTGAGTTTCAGAGAAGTCTGAGCTACAGATCAAGAACCTGTCCCAAAGTTGTTTTTGTTTTTGTTTTTTTTTTCTGTCAGTCTTAATAATCTTGATAATCTCATCCTACTTTCCTATGTTGTTGTCATCTGTTTTATGAGCTGCACTAATTTTACTGTTATGATCCCCTAAGTAACATATTGCGTCAACTGTATTTGCACTTTGAGAAACTTCCTTTCCTTTTGTAGTTCTTTCTTTGGGACCCTGTTTTAAGACTATCAGTTCATCTGTGACATGTGGACCTCACAATTTGTGTCTACTCACATTTCATGATACCATTACCTTCCCCATTCTCCCCAGGAAGGCTACACAATCTAAGTTCCTAACAGCTGGACTCACTGCAGACTTGGGGACAGAGGACAGGGCCGACAGTGTCTTGCCTAACTAGTTATTACTGAGGGGCCACTTCTTCAGAAGAACTCTTTGTTTTTGAAATAAGTTAAAACTATGGGGTTTTAAAACATTTGACTGATTTACTTTCCATGCAAATATTAAATGTATTTGTCAAACTTACACAATCAAATCTACCTAAAACAGTAACTATCAAGATAAATTCATGCATAGTTGCTAGAATGATGTTTTTTTGTTTGTTTGTTTGTTTGTTTTTTCCAAGATAGTCATAAAATTAAGCCTGGCCATGATGCAGTTCAGATACTTGGTAATTTTCCTTGCCAGGGCCTGAGTTTTAGAGATGATGGTAGAGTTTACAGATCAGTAGTAGGTATACAGTTTTTACCCCCTAAACTTGGTAGATAACTGAATCTATTTTTTTTCTTTAAACATGCAAACAGAAAGGCAGATGCTGCATAGCAAGTGTTTACCAGATTCTGTTATGCACACTGTTGATTTTCAGTCTAATGTCTTTACCTATTTTGATATCTGTTCTTTTCCTCATGACTCTAACTCTTCCACTGTAGGTCTGATGAAAGTGACTCCTCTTTGTCGGAGGTGCACAGGTACTTTCTTCCTATCTTCCCTGCATTTCTTCCTTCCACTGATGTCCTAAATGCCTCCTAGAAATCCTAAGCAAACCACAGGTTTTTTGTTTTGTTTTGTTTTGTTTTTGTTTTTTATTGCATGTGTAACTTGTAAGCTGTGTAAGTGCACTAATTTTAAAACAATTTTAACGTACCTTGTGAGTGTATGTTGTAAAGTAGTAGCAAACACTTTTAATGAAAACTTAGAAACTTGTTGCCTGTAATCTTATTTTTGTCTGTAAAATATAATCACGCTTTGCTGAAGCCAATGTCAGGAGGGCTTGATCCTCGGGGTTAAGCATTGCTACTGCTTCAAAGTTCAGGAGTTGCATACATAGCTTTTCTTGTTGGCTTGGCAATTTGAAGTAAAAAGTTTATTTCATAACAGTATACTTGAATATAAAATGGATACTATCATGACAAAATTAAAACAAAAAGTGGAAAGTAAAGGAACATATTTAGGTTTTTTAAACTGATAAACGAAGTTTTAAAAATAATAGCATCACATTTTTGTTGTTGTTGTTATGGATTTGGGGAAGGGCTTAGTTTTTCTTTCTCTCTTGTTCCCCTTTTCCACACTTACCTGTTTGTCTCTTCCCCATTTCCCTTTGTTTTCCTTTTTTATGGCCATTTTTCTGAACATCAGCAGATCCTCCAGAAGGTAGGCAGGGGAAGGGAGAAAAGATCAATTTCACAGTATTATGAGTTTACTAGTTTTCATGGAACAAAAATACATGCTGTTTTATTTTCTCCACTCATACCAGCTTTGTTGTATAAATTTACATAATTTAATGTAACTTAAAGAACTGTTTTAAAAGGTCTTTTTTGTTGTTTTGTTTTTCAAGACAGAGTTTCTCTGTGTAGTTTTGGAGCCTGTTCTGGAATTCACTCTGTAGACCAGGCTGGCCTCGAACTCACAGAGATCCACCTGCCTCTGCCTCCCAAGTGCTAGGATAAAGGTGAGCGCTACCACCACCTCGCTTTAATTTTTAATATTGAGATTAGTTTTCTTTAGAACACTGAATAACCAATGGTATTAAAATATAATAGACTAGGCTGAGGAAATGTCTCAGAGGGTAGAATGCTTTTTGTAGATGCATAGAGACTAGAGTTTGGATCCTACATAATGTCTGTGCTGGTGTGGAGGACTGTGCCTGGGCAGGTGTAGAGGACTGTTCCTGAGCAGGTGTGGAGGACTGTGCCTGAGTAGGTGTGGTGGACTGTGCTTGGGCAGGTGTGGAGGACTGTGCCTGAGTAGGTGTGGTGGACTGTGCTTGGGCAGGTGTGGAGGACTGTGCCTGAGTAGGTGTGGTGGACTGTGCTTGGGCAGGTGTGGAGGACTGTGCCTGAGTAGGTGTGGTGGACTGTGCCGGGGCAGGTGTGGAGGACTGTGCCTGGGCAGGTGTGGAGGACTGTTCCTGGACAGGTGTGGAGGACTGTGCCTGGGCAGGTGTGGAGGACTGTTCCTGGACAGGTGTGGAGGACTGTGCCTGGGTAGCACTAGGAAGTGGTGACACAGGGTACTTGAGGCAAGGTGGCTTGCTAGAGTAGCTGAGATTTTGCTGAAAGACCTGCCTCAACACACAAGGTAGAACATGCTCTAGGAAGATGCAGACACTAGGAGGAAGCAGCCTAGTCCTGTCTACACGGTGAGCATTTGCACCTGCCCATACTCATATGGGCCTATACATGTGTGGACATGCATACACGTATTCATGCCACGCATACGTGTGCAGCAACAAAGGCCATGTAAGAATAACAAAAGCTTCCTGCTTTCCAGGAAGGTAGCTTTGTGTTGGCTGTTGTATCAGAAGACACAGCTGGGCTGCATGGGAAGGGGATCTGGAGGTATAGGGTTTCTAAGTGATTGTACCTGGGTTCTGAGGAGAGTTTGTGTCACTGAGTTACAAATAGCTCTTATGCTACTAACACAGTTTTAAATGATTTCTTAGCTATTTATACAGTAATAGTAGCCCTCACCAGAAGAATAATACCTCTTAAATATTTGAAGTGATGTTTGTAAACAATGGTATTATTTCATAGCTGTGCATCTTGTATCAATATGGTTTCAAAATGGCAGACTTTTGAGAGTAGTGTCTCTCCTATTCCAGTGTTAATTTGTTTAAATTCTTATATTACAGTGCTGGAGAGATGGTTCAGCCATTAAAGGCTCACTTCATAGCCAAAAATATAAATTCTTATGTTACAAACAAGCTATTGCTATTAATTTCAATCTAAAATTTTGCACACAGACAGATAAATTGGCACATATATGTGTACATGCATATATATGTGTGTAATCTTTGTCTTTGTGTATCCAGAGATAATCTCAAGGGTCACTTTTAGTGACATGGAGTTTCTCTCACTCAGAAAGTTAAAAAAAGGATCCACAGTATAAGACTTTAAATATAATGTTTAAAAAATAAGCCTGTTTACTTTCTTTACATTTCTATGCATTTTGTGATCAGCCCTCTTTAGCTATGTGAGAATTGATTTAGTGCCTTTTTTGTGTATATGACACCCTTCTAATATTTAGCCTTTTAATGTCATGATTATATGCTTTCTCCAGCATGTTCTTTTATCATCTTGATAGCTCTATTTTATTTTTTTCCTTAATTTGGAAAGATTCCAGCATTCAGTGTTCTTAAAACACAGCACCGAGAGCTAAAGCCCTTTCCCAATGCACCTTGAGCAGACTGTAGATGGCCTGATACAACATCCTGCTGAATTTGGTTACTTGTGTGAGAAAACATTGGCAATCTTGGTAGAGCAACCATACACTGTTAAACTCTGATCCTGTACCCAACAGTTCCAGCCCTCTCTCTGGAAGTTAGTTCTGTTTTGCTTTTGTGTAATTCTCTTCTACCTTTGACTTTAGCACTGGGTTTAAATTTTACCCAATGATTATGTCAGTGCTACATACAAGTGATTTCTTGCTTGGGCACAATATCCAGCTATTAAGTCTATGAATTTAACTAGCAAACCATTTCTGTTTTTAGGGTCAAGGAAAGATTGATTCAATGTCAAAGATCTTCCAGATTGACTCTTTGCCCCCAGTGTAGCAGCTTTAGCACATCAGATTTATATTTACCTCACTTTTTTCTCAAGGGCATTGTCTGACAGATTCAGTATTCAGACTTTATTGGAGTCAACATAAAATGCGCTCATATGATCACGTGCCTGTGCTCACTGTCTAATAACCCTACAGGGAGCATCCTCATGAGATTGGCAAGCCCATGTTATATCTGACTGATGAATATTTACTTCTAAACATGTTTTATAATGATTTACTCAGTATTTTTTTCATGTGAGACTCAACAAGAAATTAATGTCTCAGGTGTTTTTGTCCCCTTTATTAACCTTTGTGATTTCTAAGAGTACTGGCAAGGCTGTCTCCTCTTCAATGGAATTTCCTTCAGAGAATTATAAATAATGGTGCTAATAATTTAAAAGCAGGAACATTTAATGTTGTAACTCACAGCAAGAAGAAAAATTAACAGTACATTTGAGTGACTGGTGTGCTCTGTCTTGGTTTAGTCTCATCTTTACTCTTCCTGACACTCATTTTAATTCATACCCCATCGTAAGGAAACCCTTTTAAAGTTAGGCCACACAGTATTTTGATAACCCTTTTAGTCTCTAGTGCATGTTCTGCCACATAGACCAGACACTCCAGAAACAGCTCCCAAAGAGCTTGACTGCCACTTACATCTTTCACTTTAAAAATCTTTGAGATTATCAAAGGTTTTTTCACCCCTTTAAGTTGCTGGCGCTTGAAAATCATCTTCCCTTAAATTTCTACCCATCCGATAGCTATATTTTTTTTCCATATTCCTTTGAGAACTGCTTTCTGTGTTGCTTAGGTGTCATGTGTTAAACTTTCTCCAGCATGTCCCCTTTGGGTGTAGAATTCCATTCTGCCTACTGTACAGCTATGTCTTCCAGTCAATCATTTCTACTTCCTCTTGGTCATAACACGGAATAATTGTCAGAGGGATGGAATGGTTAATAACATCCAAGTATATCATCACTTTTACTGTTTGCAGAATTAGTTATTAGTGGACACCTAATTAGTTTATGTACTCCACTGCTATTGCTTCACACTTTATCAGCCTCCTTGTGATTAAAAGAATCAAGGGAACAGTCTGGATATTGTTAATAATAATTTATAAGGGCTTTTTTAAAAATGGAGGGAAAAAGTAAACATACTTTCATAATAGAGATGCTGAAGTCCATCTTTTTTCCCCCCAACTTAGGGGCATAATCAACCCATTTCCTGCCTCCAAAGGAATCAGAACATCTTCACTTCAGTGTGTTCACATAGCTGAAGGACACACAAAAGCTGTTCTCTGTGTGGATTCTACCGATGATCTCCTCTTCACTGGATCAAAAGGTGCTAGCCATGGCTGGAGAGACTGCTAGTGGTTAAGATTGTGTAGGGCTCTTCTGTAGGATTTTAGTTGTTCCCAGCACTCATGTTGTGCAGCCCACAATGACCTATAACTCCAGATTCAGGGGATCTCACACTCCCTTGTGGCCATCACATCCACCTGCACTCATGTGCACATACTCCACATAAACACACACACACACACACATACACACACACACACACACACAATTAAAAGTAAACTTAAAAAGTAAAAGCTGCTAGTAACCATCTAATGATCATATGTACATATTTAAAATAGCTTTTAAACAGATCATTAAAAGACTACTTAAATCAAGTGAGTCTGATATGCTGGTTTTATACCTAAATTGTGTAAAATATTAAAATTGTTGCATAGTGAGTAAGGGAGTAAATCCACTGTTTATATTTGTGAATACAGTGGGGAAAGAATGCACCTCCCTTCAATGATTGACCCTTATGGCATACTGTGTTCTAGCTTTTGTATTGGACAGTATACAAATTTATAAAAGACCACTACAACATACAATGTGACAAAAGACTGTAGCAACCTCCATTGCTTATTAACATGTCAGGCATGGTATAAACAAATGTGTTAATTCAGTAGCTCCCATGAGGCACATGTTGCAGCCTCACATTACAGATGAAGGAACGCAAGATATCAAAATGTTTTTCCCATGTTAATTTAGCTAGTAGTTCAAACTAGATTTACAGACCTCCAATCCTGCACTGTTAGTCCCTTTGCTACATTATAAGAAACTAAAACAGTTAAGGCAGATACCAGACAGTCATGCCTCACTTCTGTTAGATCCGCTTTACCTCTCTTGCCTATGAAATTACCACAGACATTCAAGGATGTGCTGGGATGCCTAGTGCAGAATAGCTGGAGAATACCGTCATCCTTTGCTGTTTTGTTCCCATGGTGTAATGCTGTTTAAATAGTTTTTGCTGTTAAAAGAACCTAAAATAGTTGACATTCACAGCATTTCTTCTGCTTCTATCTGTTTGTTTTAGATCGTACTTGTAAAGTTTGGAATCTCGTGACTGGACAGGAAATTATGTCCCTAGGGGTTCACCCTAACAATGTTGTATCGGTAAAATACTGCAATTATACCAGTCTGGTCTTCACAGTGTCAACATCTTATATTAAGGTGTGGGACATCAGAGAATCAGCAAAGTGTATTCGAACATTAACGTAAGTACCTTGAAAACAGCACAGTTCTTTTTAACATTAGGAAATATGGGACTATTTATATACTTTAGTTTTTAAAAATCACCTACTTCTCAGAGGACATTTAAATGTTCACCATAAAAATACAAACAAAATAAGGAGGAAAAAGTTGAACACAACCAAGAATGGACCATGAAAAGAAAAAAGATGGATTGGATTAATCTGTTACTATGTGTGGATGTCATACTCTCCCTTTTCCAAATGCTAAGGCAATGCTTGAGAGCACTACTTACTACCTTATAGGATTAGTGATTTAAGGAAGTATCAGTCCTTGGAAGATGACTAAACTGACCATTGTTGGTAGTAAGGAACGATTTGCAATCTAACTATCCTTGAAATAACCAAGTGTGTTTTAGGATGGACACTACTTCCAGCCAGCACAGACTTTATAACTACAATCATGTAGGACAGTTGGGGCATGAGTCTTTTCTCAATTTGTGTTGTTATAAATGTGTTAAAACTGTAAAACAATTTATTATTTTGGTCATGAAATTAATACCCATTTTTCATAATCAAGATTGAGGTGAACTCAATAATTGTATACATGAAAAAAGGGAATGTTGACTTGGTTTCTAATTCATAGTTGAGTATTGAGAGACATTTTCTTACTTCAGAGCTAATGTTTCCTGTCCTGGATAGAAACCCCCAAAGGGAAGTTCTGTAGAGGAAAAATGCCTAATCCCCAGTTAGAAAGGTCTCAGCTAACGTCAAATCTGAAGAGGTTGGTTTTAACGCATTATTTTAGATTTTTAGCAAGGAAAATATTTCAAAATTAAAAACATCTCATCATGTAAATTTTTTGGAAAATATATGTAAGCCATAGCTATTTTTTTCCAAACAAAGTAGAGAGTCCATTAAACAAAAGCTGAGTACAGTTCGAAGGTCTCAGTGTCCTTAGTCCCTAGAGCTAACCCTGCCTGGTATCTAAATGGATCCTGGTGAGCCAGGCCAGCAGAGGGCTCCTACCAACAGCAGCAGATTGAGCTGCCTTCCTGGCACTGCCTTCATCTGTTGAGATCTTGGCTATGGAATTTTTTTTTTTTTAATTTTTTTATTTTTTGGAATTATTTTTTAAAGGATGTTTTAGTCATCTCCAATTCAGGGCTTGGGGTTCATAACATCATAGACACACACATTAAGAATTTAAATGATACCACCCTGGTTTCTTCATTCACATGTTCTCTCCATTGGCCAATACTTACTCATGGTGTGACCACCTGCTTGGTGCTGTGCCTGGTACTGTGAGTGTGGCTTGAGCACAAGTAACTCCTGCTGTTCTCTACAGCCAGGCTCTTGGGAATTTAGGAAGCTTCCAGCCAAGCTCATGTCTGAAAACATGACTTATTTTGTCTTGTTATTACTTATTTTACTTTGTGATTACTTACTAGATCTTCAGGTCAAGTTACTCTTGGAGAAGCTTGTTCTGCAAGCAGCAGCCGGACAGTAGCTATTCCTTCTGGAGAGAGCCAGATCAATCAGATTGCACTAAATCCAACCGGCACTTTCCTCTATGCGGCCTCTGGAAATGCCGTCAGAATGTGGGATCTTAAAAGGTAGAACTTTTAGAAAATATATCTCTTACATATATCAAATCCAACTTTAAATACTAATAACACCAAAATGCTTGTAAAATCTAATTTTCACATGCCCTCTAGCTCACACTTAAAAAATGTTTCAAATTATGTTTTATTTTGCATATAGCAATGCAATTTACATATTCAATGGGGTGAAAAAAGAATGATAAGATTCAAACAACTATTCTTTTAGTTACTTTGTTAATACAAATTTGTTCTTTTTTAATAGCAGGATTAAATATAGGTTTATATTAACAAAGTGACTGAAAAACAATTTTTAAGAAACTGTAATATTAATATCCTAGAAGTTAAAGGCATTGCTGTATTCCAGCAACTTGGTTTGAGAAAGGACTACCACATAAGTTCACTGTTACCCTCTGACAACTGACTGTATACATAAAAAAAAAAAAAAAAAAAAAAAAAAAAAAAAAAAAAAGGTCTTGCTATTTAGCTCAGGGTGGCTTTGAACTTCTTGATCTCAAGTGCAGGTTGGGATAACAGCTATGCACCACCATGCCTGGGTAGCATTGTTTGTTCTTACACCTGTCAGATATCAGTTCTAGTCATGTTCAGCCTTTATAATGAATAATGGATTGGCTCACCAATGTATATGTATTTTCTCATATACATAGCTACACATAGATGTGGATGCTTTGGTATATGTATATATGTGCATGATGTATGTGCATGTATTATATATGTGTAGGTATAGAATAAAATAATCCTACTTCCTCCATAGCTTCCTTGATGTTATAAGCAGTGATATCAATGTTTTATTCAAATGCAAATTGAGTCTAAAAGGATTAGTCAAATCTTTTATGAATTCATGTATTTAATAAAGTTTACTTGAGGAATTAAGATTATCCTTTCACAATTTCTCTCACTTTTTTATTTCATAAATTATATCAAGCTTCAGAATAAGATATAAATATTTCCCAGCTTCCATCATAGGATGTTAGTTTGGTCATTTCTATTTACTCTGTCTAGAGTTTCAAGAGGCAGGGCTGAAGTCTAAAAAAGAAAGTTAATAAACAATACTATGAACAAATATAGAGTATATGAGTCTTCCATTAAGCTATGAAATGCTTTCAACAGTCATTTTATTTCTCTTTGAAGGTTTCAGTCTACAGGAAAGCTAACCGGACACCTGGGTCCTGTTATGTGCCTTACGGTAGACCAGATTTCCAACGGACAAGATCTAATCATCACTGGCTCTAAGGACCATTACATCAAAGTGTGTATTATAGAGTTGTTGATTACATTGTCTTGAGTGATAGGTTCACAGTAGTCACCAATCTAAGTCTACTTCTCTTTTTCCTTGTGACCATTGATTACATATTTTGTTTTTATTTTGCATACAAATAGGTGGGGTTATTTACTGGATCATAGGTAACTTGTCATGATCATCAATGGCTATACCATTTTGGAAAGTTACTCCCCCTCCTCTTGCAAGTATTAACTGTCATTTTCTCCTTGGAGGAGGGAGAGTTCTCATGAGTAACTCCTCCATCCATGATGGAGTGTTGACAGTCCACATTCTTCAGCAGGTCTTTGGCTGCTGTGACTTCCTGACTGCACTGGCCATATCAAGTTTGGAAGACAGTGTTCCCTAAAGCTCCCCATCCTCTGACTCTTTCTTTCTGCTCACCTCTTCTGTGATGTCACTTGAGCATGGAGGTGTGAACTAAATGTCCTGCTTAGGGCTGAGAGTGTTCAACAGTCACTTATTCTCAGCATGTTGCGAGGTCACTTTCTCTTAACCAGTTTTCTGTCTCATTTTTCTAACCTTTGCTTTTTTGTTTTTGTAATCTTTATTTATAGTTAGCGATATTGTTATTTTTGTTTGTTTTGAGAAAGGGTTTTCTGTAATTCAGGCTGGCCTGTGAACTCTGTGGTCAAAAATGACCTTGAACATGTAATCTTCCTGCCAGTAGCTCCAAGTATAGGGATTGTAGACATGTGCCATCACACATCAGTGTCCTAGCTTGCTTCTCTGTTGCTATGGTAAAACACTGGCCACAACCTACTCTGAGAAGAAAGAGTTTATTTAGACTGTAGGTTATAGTACAATGTCAAGGGAATACAAGGCAGGAACTTAAGGCAGGACCCTGGAGGTATGGACTGAAGGAGAGACCACAGAAGGATGCTGTTTATGGGCTTTGTCCAGCACTAATGTTTATCTACCTTTCCTATACAGCCCAGGCTCACCTGCCTAGGGATGGTACCACTCACAGTGGGCTCTTCTACATCAATTGTAAATCAAGGAAATGCTCCATAGACATGACTACAGGCCAGTCTGATGGAGGCCATTCCTCAACTGATGTTCCTTCTTTCAAGATTTGTCCAGTTGACAACCAAGATTAGTCATCATACCCAATTTTATTCAGTTCTGGAGACTGACACTGGGCTTCATGCATACTAGACAAGAAGTCTATCAACTGAGCTATATCTCCATTGATTGATTTTTTTTATATTATTCAAAATGAAAATTAATCAAAATTGTCTTTTTTAGCCAAGCAAGTAAGAAAAATGAAAAGATCTAATGGGTAACTTTGGGAAGGTGGAGAAGGAATTTGGAATTGAAAATCTACCTAACTTTAAACTGCACAACATGATATTGTTTATTTCAGTTTCAAATGCATTGATACATAACACCTTTAGTACTGAATGTCACATTTCTTTATTCATACATGAAAAAAATCCATTTGCTTTTCTTGAAGTTTGTGTATGTGACATGCAAACAAAGTTAGTGTGAAATAGGGCTCAGAATATTCTTCAGTGTCATTTGTACTTAGTTAATGCGGTTAACAAGTTGCTTATATGCACATTTCTGTTCCTATGAATGTGCACATGGAAGCACTTAGGGATAACTGCTGTCTTTCTGATTCTCTTATAGATGTTTGATGTGACTGAAGGGGCTCTTGGAACTGTAAGCCCCACCCACAACTTTGAGCCTCCTCATTATGATGGTATAGAAGCACTGACCATTCAAGGGGATAACCTATTCAGTGGGTCCAGAGACAATGGAATCAAGAAATGGGACTTAGCTCAGAAAGGTCTTCTTCAGGTAATTCAGAAACTCTGTATGGTATGAAGTGGCTATTTGGAAACCACTCAGGAATCAGCCCAACAACTTGGAGGGTTTCTATATAGAGTCTCATAGTTTAATCAGGGGTTTCTCTTAAAGATTTGTTTTTAACTTTTAACCCTGTGAAAGGTCATTCAACCCCCAAAGGGATTATGACCTGGGTTGAGGATTGTGTAGATTCACATTGAATTTTACATTTTAATATCAAATATATTTTATGTACTTTATCCCCAATAAAATTACTTCCATCAGAGTGGTAAATTGGAAGATGGTAAATATTCAACTAATACAACTAGGTAAGAAAAGATGTGACACTACTGAAAGTTGAAAGCTGGAGAATTTTTGTGTAGATCTCTTTATTAAATACAACCACCTTGTGGTAGAACAGTTGCAGGTGTTCTCTGTTTTTAAATGTACAGATGCCCCAAAAGCATGAAGATCATCTGGAGTCAGGACTTCTCAGTCTTGGGAGCATTTTGTTGAGTCCATTAGACAGTGCTTTCATATCCTACAGAATGACAGCAGGGTTTCAGTGCATCAGTGAAGAAATTAGTTAACGGAGAAAACTGTTTACAATTCTTTGCATCTGTTTGTTGCTGCATGTATGCATTACAGCTGCTACTCTCTTCTTACTTTCAGTCTGTGACTAAAGACAGAATGCACCATTAGCATGAATATTTGTACAAACACTTCAGACTCTGTCACAGACATATATTCATGGCTGTAATTTTTATATTGTGAATATATGTTCAGACATAAAATCTAGTCATATGCTTTTTCTTGCTCATCACGAAATATATAAACTCCCATTTTCCTTGGGCCTCCGTATTCTCTATCAAAGTGTAAAACAGGTTTCATGAGGCAGTTCTTCTAATTCCTGCGCATGCCAGTTTATAGTTTTCAAACTTGTTTTATTATGTATGTATATTTTAGGTAAGGGAAAAGGAGAAAACTTTTGTGTGCTTCTTGAGTGTTTTAGGAGCTGTAGATTACTTGTTAGTACTGAAAACAGTGTTGGAAATTGGGAAGCAAATTGTAGATCTATTGCCTAAATCCCTGAATGTGTAGAAATGGACTTTTATAGACTCTGAGTTTCACCACTAAAAGTTTCATAACCAATTTTATTGTGGCCACTGGTTTTGCAAAGCCCCTCCTCTTCAGCACTGCTTTCTCTGTTCTCTCCCAGCAAGTCCCAAATGCACACAAGGACTGGGTCTGTGCCCTGGGCCTGGTGCCAGGCCACCCAGTTTTGCTCAGCGGCTGCAGAGGCGGCATTTTGAAACTCTGGAATGTGGATACTTTTGTGCCAGTTGGAGAGATGAGAGGTCATGACAGTCCCATCAATGCCATATGTGTGAATTCCACCCATGTTTTCACTGCAGCTGAGTAAGTTTCCTCCTGTGGTTTTGCTCTGGGAGGGTTGCTTGTCTTCAGACTTACCAGATACTGTAGGCCATAGTATTTACAAATATGGCACAGCGGGAATCCCTGTCTCATTACAGTCATTCTAGCAACTGGTTCCAGATGACTGATGTACTTTCATTATTTTAATATGATCTCGCTTTTTCACCCAGGCTGGCTTAGCTATTCAAAAAATGGGATTGTAGTGGTGTGCCATCACTCCTGGCTCCAAATTTTGGCTGTAATTTTGGCTTCAAAATGTTAGGTTACTTCCGTGTTAGTAACCTGCATATCATTGAACCTGATGTCAGATCTTTTCTTGGTGACTTAAAAAAAATTCATTAATGACTAATTTTGATTTTTTTTTGTCTTCAGGAGAGTAGCTAATTTGCTATGATTTATATTTAGAACAAATTATTTTAAACAATCTTTGCACTTCTTTCTCCATTGACTATTTAAGAATATGGCAGTAACATCTGTTTCCTCCCTCCTCTGAATAGTTGGATTGAGTAATTCATGTCTTGTTTATTTGATTACTCATAATGAACTTCTGTGTGCCCGGTATAAATCTAGACTCTTAGGAAGAGAGCAGAAAGCAAAGCAGACACAAACTGTACCTTCTATTCTAACCAGAGCAGCAGAGAATAAGAAAGGGGAAAAACTGCAGTGATGACAGTGAGCAAGGGTGGAGTTACAAAGCAGGGCAGTAATGGAGGGAGGTCTCATGGGGTGGCATTTAAGATGTTTGAATAAGGTAGCAAAGACGGGCCATTGAAGTCATGAAATGGATACAGCAATCATCACCAGCTCCTGGTAGGGGTAGAAAGCACAGCTTGCCTGTGTTTGTATTATCTTGGTAAATGCCCTACTCTTTTTCTTTATTGTTTCTATGCTGAAGATTAACTCTAGGGCTTTACAAATTCCAAATAGGCTTCTCTCTGACTGAGTGATGGCCCCACATTGGGGATTATAGATCCCCAATGATGCCTTCTCCAGGATGTACTATTTGCTTAAGAGTCCCTACTTTTGCTTATTTACCCACAAACTTGTTACATCTTTAATAGCTCACTGAAAATAATGTATTTAAGATAAGACTAAGTGTTGTACATCACTGGGTCCCATGGATTGATATGTGAGTAACTAACTATACTTACCTTTCATGAGATACTCTCATTTTTTGGAGAATTAAACTTTTCACTATTACTCAAGGAATATTAAATGCCAATAAGTTTACTACATTTTTTTCTTAAAATCATAGGAAAAATAGTCAATAAAATCTAAGAAGTACTTTTTGTGTGTGTGTGATGGTACTACGATGGAACCTTGGGTCTTGCACTGGCTTGGCAATTACTCTCCTACTGAGCTATACCCCTAACCCCAAAGGTCTATTTTAAATTTAGTACTGTTTATATTTTACCTATCAAGCATTTTCTAAAGGAGTTTGGGGTTTCCTTCTGTTGCTGTAGTAAAACACTGACCAACAGCATCTTAGAGCAGGTTGTCCATCATCAAGGGAAGTCAAGCAGACACTATGGAGGAATGCTGCTTACTGCCTCATTCGTAGGCTCAAGTTCATCAGCTTTCTTACACAGCCCAGATCTAGGCAATTCCTCTCACATTACTCTAGGCTGTGTCAAGTAGACAGGTAAAGCTAACTAGAGCACTCTCCCCCTGCCCACTTGACACAGACACACCACTTTAAACCATAATCTCATAACTTTTCAATTCTTTGTCTCCAAGATTTGATGCCAGTATCAAAATGTAGAACACAGTCCAACTTATAATAAGTTCCAAAGTCTTTAAAAATCTAGTCTCTTAATCATGGGCTCCTATAAAATAAAAAACCAAATTATATTCTTTCTTGTTCCAAAAGGGAAAAATCTGGGCACAGAAATAAATGAGATTAAGGCAAAACCACACTCCACCCTGTGGCTCAATATCTGACATAGGAGACTTACTTATTGTGTTGTTTTCTGGTTCTAAGATTCTTGGGCAGGCCCACTTCTCCAGCTCTGCCATCCATAGCACATACAGCTGATCTTGTGGGCTCAGGCAATCCCCATTCCAAGTTTGCCATTGTCCTTTGCAGAAGTCTCATGGCCCCATCATCTTCAATATCCTGGGTTCTCCTCTGCAACTGAGGATGTGGCCTGTCACTGTTCAGCTGCCAGATTGAAGTGCAGCCTTGGTCCCTTTGGACTACTACTTTTTTGTGGTGATCCTGTGGAAACACTTTTCCATTGTTTCAGTGCGTCTCAGATTTCAACACGATGGAGTTCTTATAATTAATCTTGTAATGTATAATAATATACAATATGAATAAAACATTTGTATTTTAAATAAAATATATTTAAATTTGAAAACATTTAAAAATAAAATTTATATATAATGTGAATAAATTATTAACTAAATAGCATAAAATAGATTATAAATCACAGGTGATATTTGGTGAAGTATAAAAAATTTCACTCAGTGGCACTTGTCTCTTACTAATTTAAACTGATTCTTGAGCCCCAGTCCAACCAGCACTCTCCTGTCCCAATGAAACACAAGACTTGACTCCTGTGGAGATTTACAAAGTCCTTCCCTGAATAGATCCCATCTCCTTTGTTCTTGGTTGAGCAAATTCCCAACTCAGCAGACCCCAGATCTTGCTTCCCATCTATTCCGCTTGGTGGTTCTACATGCATTTTCCTTCTTTCTGTGCTGTGTGGTGTAAACAAGTTCCAGGCAGGAAGCACTCTATGGATTTGTGTTTGCTTTTCTCATGCAATAATGTGCATGTTTTACTTGCACTAATCAAAGACCTTCGATGAAAATTGTTGCCCTAAGTAATTTTGAGAGCTATTTCTGGACATTTCTGCCTCTGTTCATATGTGCATTTTAAATTTTTTGTTTTGTAGTGATCGGACTGTGAGAATCTGGAAAGCCCACAATTTGCAAGATGGTCAAATCTCTGACACAGGCGATCTGGGGGAAGATATTGCCAGTAATTAACCATGAATGGAGATAAGCATAAACTGACACTGTGATGATACTCTGCATTCTTTATTGAAGATGATGTCCTGCACTTATTATTAATGGAACCAACTGGAAATATATCTGAATCTATCTGCTAGATAAAAATGTATTCTAATAAAACTGTACTGTCTTGTATGTGTAATATTAATATCTACCAACACATATGCTTCTTACAATTGATGTATTGCTTGTATCACACTTTGACCATGGCTGAATTTTTGTGCCTAGTTATAAAAAGATACTTTCAAATTATTTGAATTCTAAGATGTCTGCTCTTGTGACAGAAGTATACCCAGAGTCAAAAACTCCTACCTGTTCACCCATTCAGATGGGTTCACACAACTTAAACACTTAAACATGTATTGGAACTGTTAATCAGATGGTAGTGTGCTCATCAGCAATTTTTGTCAGTCTCTAAGGGGTTACAAATTTCAAAGCTCTTTCAATATAATGGAAAGAAACTGTTATTGATGATTTCTCATAATTGACCGTAGTGTGCTCATCAGCAATTTTTGTCAGTCTCCAAGGGGTTACAAATTTCAAAGCCCTTTCAATATAATGGAAAGAAACTGTTATTGATGATTTCTCATAATTGACCTTAGTCTGCTAAGAAAGATAACAGTTTGTGCTAAAATGTTCACGTTTACCTATATTGACCAAAGCTTTCAGTTGTTCTACATTCTGTGCTCAGGATTGCAATGCCACAGAGCTGTTGCGTTTCTAGTGCTGGGCGTTTCTAGTTCTGTGACGGTGAGCTGTTGATTTCCTAACAGAAAGATATTTTGATCTATTTTCCCTTAGTCTGCTAAGAAAGATAACAGTTTGTGCTAAAATGTTCACGTTTACCTATATTGACCAAAGCTTTCAGTTGTTCTACATTCTGTGCTCAGGATTGCAATGCCACAGAGCTGTTGCGTTTCTAGTGCTGGGCGTTTCTAGTTCTGTGACGGTGAGCTGTTGATTTCCTAACAGAAAGATATTTTGATCTATTTTCCTATGGAATTGTTTCTATTATTATCTTTTAGTTTCTTTTTGTTTAATAGCAATAGCTCCTTTTTCTTCCTCTGATTTTTTTATATGCTGCTAAATATATTTTAAATATACTGTGTTTGCACACATTGGTAGATTTATCATTTGTGGTGGGAAACAATGTAAATAGGTAGATTGTAAAGAGAGACTATCTGGCATTATGACTGTATGAATTTCTAAATGCTGTTTGATTGGGTTTTGTTAAAGGATGTATAATTTATCTGTCTGCTCAGAATATTAATTTGTAAATTCTGCAAGTTTAATTTTATGTAACGGTATAACTTTTGAAATTATTGTCTTGTGTTTTTTTGCTCTGAAAATATTTGTTTGTAAATGAAAGTTTAGCTAGTGAGTAAATAAACATGATGCTATGAATTGTTTTTTATTCTATTAATCTTTTTCTAATCATAGGAAAATTCCAGTGTTGGGTAAACACTTTTGTCTGCCTGTCTGCCTGTGGTATGAGCAGAGACTGTTATCTGATGGCTCTCTTTTCTGTTTATGAGACATGAACTAGTGTTAAAGACCCCAGCTGCAGCCTCGGCTCGATGAACCATGGAAACTCTAGTTAAAGAAATTAAATCAGTTTATGCAATCTGGGGGATTTGAACATAGATAATAATGCAAAACTTACTGTGTAAATGTGAAGTCCGTGACCGGGTCTCCCAGCAGAGAAGGGCATGGACAAAGACAAGAGCACAGAGCAGGTGCAAGAGCCTCTTGGGGTCCAAGCTCTGTGCTGTACTTTTTCTTGGGTCCCAAATATTCACTATGGGAAATAGTGTGAAAACTCCTCAAGAAATTAAAATTAGCTGGGTGTGGTGGTACAGGTCTGTAATCCAAACACTGGTGGCAACAGAGGTAGGACTTTTAGAGTGTCAGCCCAGCCTGAGTGAAATAGGTCCAAAGCTAGCTTCAGCCACCAGCCAGACCTCTCCAAAGCTAAGGACTCAGTGGATAGACAGCTCAATGGTATTATGAATGAGCATGTGTGAGGATCACATCAAAACAAAACCCAAAACAGAAATCCAAAACAACCATATAATCGAGCTATACGACTCCAGGATATATATCTGAAGAAAATTGCAGCAGTCCTCATAGTTGCCATGATATGATTTTCAACAGAGGGAGACATAAAATGGCAGACACACTCATGAAGAAGAAAGAAATCACATCATTTGCTGAGCAATAGATGTAAATGGAGTTCATCATATTTGGGATAGAAGCCAGACGCAGACAAGCATCATGTTTTCTTTCATACGTAGAGCAACAGCAGAAAACTTTTTAAAGGGCTATTTGAAAACAGACGAGGGAATAATGGAGAATGGGAGGAAAAGAGGAGAGAGAAGGGGAAGAGAGGGGGCAATTAGGGAGCAAGGATTTGAGCAGAGCTGTATGTGACTATGGACATGAACAGAGACATTGTCTGCAAACTTACGAGTTCAGTGACTGATTTTAAACTTAAAAAAGGGGTGAGGGATTTTGAGCAATGTTTTGCTCTTTTACTCTTCTGGCTTTTTGATGGGCCCACCACCCAGCTCCTGAATAAATACACGAGGGCTTATTCTTAGTTATGAGTGTCAGCCTTAGCCAGCTTTTCTTAAATCAACAGTCTACCTTTTCCCTCTGGGCGTTTATCTTTTTTACTTCTGTGTATCTTACTTTCCTTCTTACTCTGTGGCTGGGTGGGTGGCCCCTGATGTCCTCCTCTCCTTGTTCTCTAGTTGCCCCTCTCCTTGCTTCTCCTTCAATTTATACTATCTGTCGCCAGCCCCACCTATCCTTGCTCCTGCCTCGCTATTGGCCACTCAGCTCTTTATTAGACCATCAGTTGTTTTAGAAAAAGAACCACAGCTTCACAGAGTTAAACAAATGCCACATAAACAGAAGTAACACACACACAAGGAGGTACCCAATTTGGTCTACCGCTATGATTCTCCATTTCCTGCAAAGATTGGGAGAAGAACATTTGTCCCTTTTGAGTCTGAATTTTAAGATTCCTTTTCCACACTAGTCTAAATAAATGGCATGATCTTACACAGTTAATGATGTCTGTAAAACACTCTAGAAAGTGTTTTGTACAACTGGATTTCACATACACAGAACAACCAGATATGCAGAGGATCAGTCTTCAGGACTGTCCACCACTGTATGACATAGGAAGACACCCGTGTCATACTCTAGACATTGAAAATGTGTGCACAGCTTGTCCTTAATCTAACAATACAATGGCAAGTTTTCAGCCATGGAAAGTAAGCGCTACTCATGGAGCCACCTTCTGCATCTTGCACAAGGGTGCTTGGTTAGTCTTTGGTCTTTGGAACTGGAAATTAAAATAAGGCTGTAGCTAGTTAGGACAGCTCAAAATGCTGAATTTCTTCCTTTAAAATTATTAGTTCCTTGGAAAGTGCTGACTTCCACTGTTTTTAATTAAAAATTCAAACTTTAGGTTCCATGTTTTCTAACAATACTTTCAATAGTTTCTCGAGAACTAATAACCCATTATTCTGTGACTATAAAAAAA